AAAAAAAAAAAAAAAAGTCACTAAAATATTTTATTTTCAATCTTGATTTAAATGTAGCTTGATAGTTACAGACTATGATTCTCTCGAGAGAACTGAGTCAATTAAACTAAAGCTCTCCACAGATTTATACTCCATGGGAAGTACACCAAGCTATTCCTACCAGCAATAGAATGACTCTTCATTGTAAACTCTTGTTCAACTTTCAGAGGCAAGACTAACAGCAACTCTAAGCATTCTCTGGACGATTTGCTGGGTTTCTATATATGACACTTCCACCATGTAAAAAGAACAGACCCATCCAGGCCCAGGTCAACAACTCATTAATGTTATATTTTCTCCCAGAACATGTTCAACCTATAGAGCCAGAACATGTGGCTCAGGTTGTACTGCTTCTTCAACATTTCTAAAAGATTTTCTTTCACACATAAATTTGGATATTTTATTTCCAATGTGTATATTTATATTCTAGTATATATAATTCTAATACAACTTATATTTAATTCAACATAATATTCTAATACATTTTATATTCTTCTTTTTAAGTAGGCTCCACACTGGGCATGGAGCCCAATATGGGGCTTGAACTCGTGACCCTGAGATCAAGACGTGAGCTGAGATTAGGAGTCAGTCAGATGCTTAAGCAACTGAGCCAGCCAGGCACCCCAAATACATTTTATATTCTACCATATAATTCTAGTAAAATAGTCTCTTCTCAAAAACAAAACTAACAAAAAATGTAAAGACCCATTTCAGCCAACCAAACCACAAGACACCTACTCATGATAGCACCCACACTAAAGGTAACACAGTTGGCAACGAAGACACTCTGAACCAAGCATTTGGGGAGGAGTTTTCTTACTGGCAAGGATTCTCCTTCCCACGATGTTCTTGTTAGCAGTACTTTCCTCATTGCTCTGCCAGGGTTTCTATCAGCAAGAGTTTCTTGGCAGTTAACTCACAATTTCCACCCACCAAAGGAAACTGAAAGAACCAAAGGCAACAACCAGCAACTTGAGAATTTTAAGGTTGTTGTCTACCACAGTCCAGTAAATTGATTAAATTTCCATGTTACTAAATGTAAGAGAAAGCCACATTAAGTCCATTCAAGCCACAAACCAGTTTTCCTGTGTTTTGGATACAAACACTATTAACTCCGTCTATCTTAAGTTTAAGAGTTGACAACAAAACTCCCAGTTTCTGTGCATTTCTATAAAAATCTCATTTCACAAAAACTAGTAATTTCAAGTTGCAAAGAATTTTAGTATTTGTTTCTAGTGTCTTAGTAAATGCTATTGTAAAAAGGAGTGAGAACGAGTTGTCCCCAAATAACTGAGGGATATGTTTCAAAGCTTTTGTAAATAGCACTTGTGCATTGTTTTACATTTTAATTGCCCTCTTACACACATTACCTACTCTGATCTGTACAGCAACACTGTGAGGTAAACAAGAGGAACTTACCCACAGTTCACAGTTGAAAAGCCCAGCTCATACAGTTTAAGTGTCCAGGGTTACATGAGTAGAAAATGAAATAACCAAAACTCAGAACACAAGTTTTCTGTTTTTCTCATACCACACTGACTGTGTGTAAAGTGGAGCTTGGAATTTGAAATCTATCTTCCCACAAAAATAATATGGTACATGGTGGTTTGGAGTCTAAACTAATCCACAAAGACCTCTTATTCACAAAGACTGAACTATTAAAAAGTAGTACAATGCTATACAGCTAAAAATGGATTTGCGTGGACTGACCTGAGCTCCTAACTTACACAGACAACACCTCTTCAGTAATAAATATAACCTATACCACAGAGAAAAGATCTTCTTGCATAAACAATTGGCCAATCTTCCCAATGCCCATCCTCTGAAGAAGGAGCTAGACCATTCTGAGCAAGAAAGGAGTGCAGAGCCACAAACACATCCCCTTCCTTCTTTCTGGTCCCAGTGGCCATTGTTTCTCCCCACCAGTGGAGATAAAATACAGCAGCTTCGGAAACAGTATTTGCTCTCTGGGATTCTTGCAGTTCACTGTCAGTCCCAAGTAGAAGCTGTTTGTTCAAACAGATAAGCTCTGTGTCAGGTGGTTAAGTCCCAAGCACCTAGAGCTGGCATGGTGAACAAGTTTTAGAGCACTCCAATGGGAATGATTCAGATTAGAATGAGGCTCAGGGACAGGAAGGGTGGATGGGAGATGCCCATCCCAGGCATGTAGGCATGGTTATTCAGGAAAATTCTTCTTTATTTTATACCCAAATTAGAGAAAGTGATGAAATCAGAAAGAAGTGACTGCACTTTTTTAGATATATTCATTTTATTTGCTCAAAATAAAAGAGGAATCTGTACTTGTCCATCACTCCATAGAAAATCCAGAGGATCGGGCGCCTGGCTGGCTCAGTTGGTTAAGCGACTGCCTTTGGCTCAAGTCATGATCCTGGAGTTCCGGGATCAAGTCCCGCATCGGGCTCCCTGCTCAGCAGGGAGTCTGCTTCTCCCTCTGACCCTCCCTCCTCTCATGTGCGCTCTCTCTCTCTCATTCTCTCTCTCAAATAAATAAATAAATCAAATCTTTAAAAAAAAAAAAAAGAAAAGAAAATCCAGAGGATCAGTTAAGTACAAGGACAGTTAGTATAGAGGAAAGAACCTTGGAGAGTTCATACTTATCCACCAGGCATTCACTCTTTTCTTTTTTTTTAAAATAATGTATTTAAATGAAATGCTTTTTTTTTAAGATTTTATTTATTTATTTGAGAGAGAGAGAATGAGAGAGAGCACGAGAGGGAAGAGGGTCAGAGGGAGAAGCAGACTCCCTGCTGAGCGGGGAGCCCAATGTGGGACTCGATCCCGGGACTCCAGGATCATGGCCTGAGTCGAAGGCAGTCGCTTAACCAACTGAGCCACCCAGGCGCCCCCAGGCATCCCCAGGCATTCACTCTTTTTTTTTTTTTAAAGATTTATTTATTTATTTATTTGAGAGAGAGAATGAGATAGAGAGAACATGAGAGGGGGGAGGGTCAGAGGGAGAAGCAGACTCCCTGCTGAACAGGGAGCCTGATGCGGGACTCGATCCCAGACTCCAGGATCATGACCCGAGCCGAAGGCAGTCGCTCAACCAACTGAGCCACTCAGGCGCCCCCAGGCATTCACTCTTATCAAACCCCAGGAAGGCCTTCCAGGACACCCACTACCCCCACATCCAGGCTAGATGCCTCTCTGATACAGCCTCGCCCCATGTAAGCCCACAGCATCATGTACAGCCTTCGTTTCATGAGATTATAGCTGTTCAAAGAAAGGACGAAAGAATCAGAAATCACAGATTCTGTAGGTAATTCTTTTCTTAAAAAAAAAAAAAAGATTTATTTATTTGAGAGAGAGAGAGCACATGCACAAAAAAGGGGGGAGGGGCAAATGGAGAGGGAGAGACAGAATCTCAGGCAGATTCCACCCTGAGAGCACAGCCCAAAGGGAGGCTTGATCCCACTACCATGGGATCATGACCTGAGCCAAAACCAAGAGTCTGACACTCAACCGAGCCACCCAGGTGCCCCTAAATAGTCTTTTCAATTATGTGAATTTAGCTAATTAACTTCTCTGAGCCTCATCTTTTTCTTAGATGAAGAGATGGAACTATTGTTTTTTTCAAACTACCGCCAAGCTTTATTGCTCAAAATGCAAGCTAAACACTGAGAGTCAATGAGGACCCCAAAAAGACAGAGTTCAGATCCACGGAGGCAGGAGCGGGGCTGGTGGGATGTTCCTTGCAAGGCAGCACTCCACACTGGGGGAGACCAAACTAATTTCTTACGGATCCCCCAGTTACAGAACCCCAGTCAAGATGAAACTGTTATCAAATCATAGCAAGGTTCTTCATAAGACTGCAAAGCAAGTGGCACAGAGTATATAATCAATAAACATTTGTAGAATACACTGGTGTTTTTGCCTGTTTTCTATTCACAAGTAACCTGGATAATAGGCAACTTCTGTCTCATTTTCAGTACTTACTTCCACAATCATCTTTAATATCTATAGTGGCAAATGGCATGTCTATCAGAGAATCCATAGCATTAGCTTCAAATTCTTCTGACGTTTCTTCTTCTCTTGATACATTTTCACACTCACTGGAATTTATTCCTCCTTTATCAAAAAGAAAAATGTATTATTTAACTTATTTTTTTAAAATTATATCCTAAACTAAAACAAGTCAACTGAATTCAATATAAATTAACGTCTGTTGAGAAATGATACTTGTATTCAAATATATTGTAAAGCTATATAAACATTATTTATACCATATTCTACATTTCTATAAATACACTTCTATGTTAAACAGTTTTAATAATTTTCTGAAGCACAGTATTCAACTTGGGGTTAGATGAACACTGAGTTAATCAACAATCCCTAAGATCTTTTATAGCTATATTTTCTTAACTCTAACACTACATTTTTCCCACATGCTTTTGAAAACAAATCAACAAAGTTTTGTCAGTCTCCCTCACATTTTTAACAATATCATGTATGTGTTTTCATTTGTACAATTCTGACCTTTATTTTTTTCAATAAAGACTTTTAAATTTTTTCTCTCCATTATTCTATAACATTGGAAATTCATGGCTCTAAATATGCATGGTTCTAAATATGCTTTCCTAGAAATTCAATGATTAAAAAGTAAAAGATTTTATAGTTCCCCTGACAGCCCTGAACTATTTGCTAATATTAAAGACATTTGTTAATATTAAAGCCACATTTCACATTTGGTCTGTTTTCTAGTTACGGGTGGAACAATCATAAACCTGGGGTGGAGGTTAAGGGAAAGAGGGTGTCTGTTTAAACTGATAAAATTGCTAAATGTATCAGTAGGTGGTCATCCCACTACCACTATTTTCCATGCTTTTATTGACAGAACACAAATGTTGTCCGAACTAGGACTGAACAAAATCTTGGGATAATTGTATAATTTTTACCCTATGTATTTACTAAAGACTAATTTACCATTAAAGATATTAATGAAGTCATTTAATTCTTTGTTGTTGTAACCCTCTATTTTCAAATATAATACCTAAACCACATTCCATTAAGAATATGGCTTACAACATACAACATAATGACTATCATGAAAAGTAACAGTAAACATGTATACCAAAAAAATCTAAATGTTTATTGCAATTTGAGTGACCTCTATTCTCATACACACCGCACACACGCACACCACACACATGCACATTTTCTAGATAAAAGCAAAAAAAAATACAACAAAAAGAATTATATATAAATTAGTCATGTTCGATACCAAAACAAAGAAAAAAAGTAATAGTATATTCTTAATAATGATACTATTTATTTTTCAAGTATGAGTGCCTGGCAAACAGTGTTCAACAAATATTAGTTTACTATGAGTCTAATCACAGACTTACAACTATTTGAAATATGTGAAAACAAGTAAATGTTTCCTCTCTATTTTTACGTTTGCACTGAAAAATATAAATGCAGTTTATACCTCAACAAAAATTTTAATCGATCAATACATATCTTGTACCTTTGGGCACATGCAGCTACTACTCATAAAGTATCATCACTGACCATGAAGCTTACACCTGAAAAGGTAGCAACAAAGAGTATTTGGGCAGTTAAATATGCGCAGAGCCGAATGAAAATCAGAACAAAATGAAATAAACCCAACTTTTGTTTTTCTCTATTGTATTCTTAATCTAAAAACTTATTACTAAGTTCTGAAGATCTAATGTACAGCATGGTTACTGTAATTAATACTGTACTATCTACCTGAAAGGTAGTGAGAAAGGAGACTTTCAGCATTCTCACCAAAAAAAAAGTAACTATGTGAGGTGACGGATGTTAATTAACTTGACTGTGGCAATCATCTCATAATATATACTTATAAAAAATCATCACGCTGTACACTTTACATATATACTGTTTTATTTGTCAATTACATCTCAATAAAGCTGGGAGGAAGATAAGAACTCAGTGGCATTTGGATAATGATACAAGGCAAGCTGGCTGCTATAACAGAAAGGGTTTGGTACCAGAAATTAGGAGGCAGATATTCTAGTGTTGTGTGCTGCCGCCTCACTAACTGTGTGATCCCAGGCAATTCACAGGAACTCTCCAGGCCCCACTACGTATCTCCTCTTCTAGATGACATCGTTGTCCTGGTGGAAAAATTCTAAATCCTGGCTGCACTTTAGAATGACCTGAGCTTTTTAAAATTACCAGTGTCTGGGTCTCACTCCAGACCTATCAAATTGGAATCTCTGGACATCACAGACTAGCTGTGGGTATTTTCTTGAAGCCTCACAGGGTGATTCTAATGTGCAATGGAAGTCGGAAAATCATTGCTCCCAAAGATCCCCTTGCATTTCTTCCAAACTTCAATCTTCACCAGAACAAGAGATTATGTTAACAGTTGAGAATAATCAACTTAAAAGTAAAAACTCAGATCTGATGTTTCCTGTTAGGGAAAACTTTCCTGATCCCCAGCTCAGGGCTGAGTTAGGCAATCCCATCTCCTTCCCAGGACCTAGTGCTTCCTCCAGTCACAGGACAAACACATGTAGGCATCCATTTGTCAGTCTTCTCCATCAGACACTAAGTTACAGTGATCACATAGTCTACCACCCAAACTGGGACACCTGTGAAAGTGAAAGGGGGCACTTTTCATAATTACACCCCCATCGATAAGTACGGCCCCCCTAGTCTAAGTTCCTTAAGTGCCACGTCTTATCTTCATTTGATTCCTCAATGCCTAGTACAGTGTTCAGCTCACAGCTGGTGATCAGTACATTTGTACTGCATGACTGGATACAGGTAAGCACACATTTGAGAGTGGTTAATAATCACTCAAGTTACACTGCAGTACAGCTATCCCAATGCCCAAGAAAAACTCATTCCTGGTGTTTAAATGGCAGCTTCAGCACATCACAGTTTCTCATTTTCACAGGATGATGAAGGAAAGGTACTATTATCCCATTTGACATAAAAATAAAAGGTGAAGGATATTAGTACTTGCTCAATATCATTCTCCATCTTGTCAAATAAAGCATATATAAACTTTTGAATGCAATGTTATGTCAAAATCAACAATCATCAATATTATAAAACTAGAACTTGAAATACAAACTTTGTTCCATGAAACTACAGAATAATAGGAACAATTTTGTAGATATGAATTATTAACTCAGAAAAAAGAGAATGCCACTCCCAAATAACTTCAAAAATTGCTGGTCATTCTCTAGCGCAATGTTTCTCAACAGAGTTCAAATCTGGAAGCCTTCCTCCAGTTCTCTAAGCTCCACTGTTTGGGCAAAGGTGACAGATGACACTGAAAGACATCCATCGTAACTGCACTTTCTACAGAAGCTGGAAGCATGCTGCTTTTGAAAAACTGCCTTAAAATAACGGACTCTTAAAAAAAGCATTTAAACCATAAAATGGTCATTTGGAGTACTAAAAATGTGGTCTAACTAGAGTCAAAATAAAATTCTATCTTTTGCACAAATCCAAATAACACGACAGCTAACACTTAAGTATGTAGTAACAGCAGGCAGAGCGGGAAGCACTGTATAGATAATGACTCATTTAATCCATACAACCATATGCTATGAGGGAGGTACTATTAACTTACTGGTTTTACAGACTAGCCCATCAAGTAACTTGCCCGAGGTTACAGCTAATTTTGGGGCTGGAATTCGAATCCTGTCACTCTACTGGAAAAACTTCTTTTTCTGGCCACACACCCCGCTGCCTCTCAACATCCGTAGTTTATGGAGCTGTAAACTGAGGGAATGCTTTCAGAAAACACTCTGAAGCTATGAAAATGTTCTTACTAACATATCTGTATCTATCACATATGCTGACCTAGACTCACCACAGCTTTGTTTAGAGGAAAGTGGAACAACTTAAATGCCCAATAACAGAGAAATAAATGAAGCATACTCACTCTAATGACAACTACGAATAATGTCTATAAAGACTGCGACAACCGAAAAAAGTTTCTAACAAATATTGACTTTTTAAAAAGCAAATACAACATTGCATATCTTCTGTCATTACAATTATATAGACAAAGTCTAAAGGATATAAATTATTTCTAATGCTGACCTAGCTGTACTCAAAATATTTGTATTTTTCCTCATTCTGCTATTCCAATATTTTATTTATTTATTTATTTGACAGAGAGACATAACGAGAGAGGGAACACAAGCAGGGGGAGTGGGAGAGGGAGAAGCAGACTTCCCGCAGAGCAGGGAGCCCGATGCGGGGCTCGATCCCAGGACCCTGGGATCATGCCCTGAGCCAAAGGCAGACGCTTAACGAATGAGCCACCCAGGTGCCCCTATTCCAATATTTTAACTAGAATATTACTTTTATAAAAAGAATTAATGCATACATTTAAAATATATTATAAAACTGTACCTTAAGTATACACTACTATTCAAATATATGTGCACTTCAGCAATGACTTTATATTAAAGACAGGCCAACAGAAGAAGAAAGGGCAGTTTTGCCTTCTGTCACACAAAATGCAAGCTTCCTATTTGGATAATAAAATGTGACTTCATTAAGCAAGACTCTTCTGTTCACTCTGCTAGGTATATCTGGGAGGTATGTTCCCCAAGAACCAATGGAAAGGGTCACTGCCATCCATGCTAGTGAGGGCTTAGCCATTAAAAATAGCAGCATCTTACATCTAGATAAGTGTTGAGCTGTGTGATAATCAAGTCAGCTTTGGTTTCCTCTTCCTAAAAAGAGAACAAAAATACAATCCACTACTAGAAAGAAATGGACAGAATGTTAATACGGGGTGAAAAGGAACATAGGGTGACAGTAAACTCCAAAAACATCTTAAGCTTTGCCAACCAAGTATGAGTAAGGAAAAAGGCCCAGATAATGTTACCAGTATCCTGAACTTCAAGGCCACACACGAAGCACAGAGCCAGGGTGTGGGTCTCCTTTCTCCCTGATAATCCCCCACCCTCTATGCCCTCCGCACCCACCCACGAGTCTTAATCACTCATTCCCATAATTGTACACCTATTTCTATTCGTTACCGGCTATCATGTAACACATTCTAACATTTTAAGGCTCTTTCTCTTTTTATGCGTTTATACTACAAAAAGCGTCTCGCAGATGAGCCTTTTCTCTAATTGGTTTTTGGTCTCTTTCCCCCAAGTCCAACCCCTCACTAGCTCCACCCACAAAGTTCCGTTCACAATAATGCTGACCTAAGCTGGAAATGAATTCTGGGCCCTACTACAGATTTGGCGCCAGTTTAAAAGAGGTCATTTACACACCTAGAATAAACTACTAAATGAAACAGCGCGGTGGCTCAGATCTTTAAGGTCTGGGATAGACGACGAAAACCGAAACTTTTCTGAGTTTCACT